AACGTCATGGACGGGCTCGGACGGGGAGGTTGCTCTAGAACTTTGAGTCTGCTCAAAATTTTATCCCGTCCATCCCGTTCTGCAATTAGTCGGATTAACAACGTACTCAAAACGAGAAAGACGTATTACGAACGGAATTGCCGTACTTCGAACCTACAAGGGACGTGTTACGACATGGTGCAGTCCGACATAAATTTCAGTACGTTTGCACACCGACCGGGTCGACTTCTCTTTGGAGGCATGATGTGTTCAGCTCGGAGCCCTAAACTTGAATGAAAACTGGCTACAACGCGCTCGGTATCCATAGGAGTCGGGGCCAGGACGCGAATACACACGCACTTGGGACAAGATGAGGACGTACTGTGAACGAATTGGTCGGGTTAAGAATTATTTAGAACTGGCTTGGACGTATTGTGAACGAGGTAGAACGAGGTTGAACTGGTTAAGAACGGCTTCAGAAGGGCTACGGACGTGCTCGAACTGCTTCGAAACGTTGTCGGGATGAGGTGAACGGGCACTTTTACACGATCTGAACTGGATACAAACTGACTGCAGACTGGCTAAGAACGAGACAGACGTATTGAGGACTGCTTATGAACGAACTAGCATCGTATTTTATGCCAAACTACGCGTTCTACCGTGATCACAGCCCGTTCTAGTATTTTGTTTAGAACGGGGTAGAACGGGGTAGAACGGGATAGAACTACTTTGGTGTGATGGTAGCATTATACAAATGCAATAATCTTGAACGTGACGCTAAGCGCTAAACGCCATTTCACCTCACCTCATTAAGAGAAATGTCGACTGACATTAATAAATGATATAGATATTGTTCCACTCGTCTGTTTCCGTATCTTCAGCAACTCATGCTTGCTGTAAATGGCGACTATGTTTGTCGTAAGAGGCGACTAACGGGATCGGGTGGTCAGGCTCGCTGACTTGGTTGATACATGTCATAGTATCCCAATTGCGAGTATCGATGCTCATGATGTCAATCACTGGATTGTCTGGTTCTCACTGTATTGTCTGGTCCAGACTCGATTATTTTCAGACCGCCGTCATACAGCTGGTATTTTGGTGAGTGCGGCGTTAAACAAACAAACCAAACCCTATCAAATCGATGACTTATTCTCGCCAAGGGGCCGCAGGTCCTGACCGCGACTAAGCAGCCCCACATTAGCCAATATTAGTTTGGTAACTTTAGTTTGTGGGTCTCGGGACAAGGGATTATCTTATTATTATTGCTGTTCAAACCGCACAACAATATCAATACCAACGCAAATTACATGATACATGTACGGTCGTTCCTACAAAACTCACCTGAAATATCTTAGTGAGTGAGTGACTGAGTATGGTTTTACGTCGCTTTTAACAATTTTCCAGCAGTATCACGGCGGGGGGCACCAGAAATTTGCTGCACACATTGTACCCATGTCGGGAATCGAACCCGGGTCTTCGGCGTGACGAGCGAACGCTTCAACCACTGGGCTACCCGACCACCCCCTGAAATATATTAACCGTGAGTACACATTCAAATCACCTTCATGCATTCCGTCGTGTGCTTGCTTGGATCGGTGTTTAATTTCGGCCGGCAAACTTCAGCCAAAAAAAATTTCAGCGACTATCGATATCCATGAATATTGTCTCAACATTGTACAGTGAATCGTGGAAATGTACACCTGTCGATCACACTATGTGTTTTTAAAAAAGGAAGCAAACATCGTGTTTACCTGTCCCTATCAGTCCATCACAATGTGGGACACCATGCAGCTCACGGCCAATACCTGCCGGTTACACGTGATACACCTGCACGTGGTGCCCTGGCATATCACAGGTCCGCCTGATCTTTTGGTGCATGTTTGAAAAACTGGAGTACATACTTGACCCTGATGTAATTAACATTCTGTATTAACATGTATCATTTGAAAATCTTCAAACGGATTTAACGTTTAACGGTATAACGATTGGTCTGAATGAGGTGTTCAGTGCACCCTGTCCAGTATATATAAACACAACAGTTAATTTGTTAATTGAGTGAGTGAGTGAGGTTTTACGCCGCTTTTAGCAATATTCCAGCATTATCACGGCGGGGGACTCCAGGAATGGGCTTCACACATTGTACCCATGTCGGGAATCGAACCCGGGTCTTCGGCGTGACGAGCTAACGCTTTAACCACTAGGCTACCCGACCGCCCCATTTGTTAATTGAAGTATTACAGTTTTTAGTGCTAATTTATGCTGGTGTCAAAGTGCACGGTTCGTATAATAATAAACTGTCTGCAACAGAAAGTATACACCCAGGTTTGATGGTGGCTAAAAACGAAACAAACAAGAAATGGTTATTCGATGGTGATGATATTTGATGATATTTGATACAGGATTCATAGTTGTGTTTTAGATCTTTTGGGGTGTTTTAACAACGTTTTGATAACGTTTGTAATATTTTAATCAAATCTAAATTTTCAAGAGTATAATTTCCCTTGTCCGGCTGTTCATATGAATCCTACATCGGGACAGTTATCAAGAAACACGTTGCTTCAATAATGACTGGGAAGTCAATTAGTGAGTGAGTTAAAATACGCGTTGCAATTAACCAATTAGGAGACCGTCTACCCTAACGGAGATGTGATATCCATGGGCTAGCGAATACTTACTAATTGCCCTCACAAAACTGTGACTAAATATTTATTGAAAAGATAATTATCCTGCCAACCTGTACTTTAAATAGCACGTTACACACACTGAGGTAATCGCCATACCTGCCGTCGTTGTACTGACCCGATGCTTACGTGGTCATGAATACACGCCGTGAACAATGCCGGCTTGTTTGTGACGTAACTCAAGGTCAGACGACTGAACGCCGGCCGGTGTGGCGCACCGACCGTTCCTCGCCACATGTGACAGCACGAGATCAAAGTCGCCGCGTAGATCGTTGTTTGCACTTGACCCTGAAATCTCTCAATCTCTAGTCACATGACACACGTATATCTACGGCGGGCGTTCTCCAGATACGATAACTGTTACATTTCAGTAGAATGCGTTCAAATTGTTCTCATCCTTACTATATCGATATTCATGCAGGTTGGATATGAAATCCGGGAGTCTGTACACTGCACATGGGTTTAAACAAGAGACTGTGTGTCTGTCAGAAACGTGCAGGTGTGATAAAATACACTTGTAGTTTGTATGTCCGTCAGCTGTATATAAACGTGCAGGTGGGATATAATATACGTGCAGTTTGTATGCATGCAGATCTATTAGATGCAGGTGTGGTGTAATGCACGTGTAGTATGTCAGATCTATATATAACCATGTGTGGTGTCATATACGTGGAGTCTGTCAGATATATATATATATCCAGGAGTGGTATAATACGCGTGCAGTTTGTCAGGTCTATACATACACATCACGGTATGGTATAATACAGGCATATATTATAATAAATGTCTAGTTGTATTCATGCGTTCATGATTTCGGTGTTGGATAAGAAATATAAGATCCTTCCTGCACTGACACTTGCGTCCGTCATAAGACCATATGTACGTGATACCGCGTTAGCCCCGACACTCTCCGTCCCACACGTCTCCGTCGTGTGGCCGTGCACGTCCACACACCCTTATGTCGCCCCGACCCCGAAACACTTGTTTACCGCTGAGATCGGCTAAAACTGTACACAGCTGATACCAGGCTGTTTAAATAAATGTAATGCGTAGTTAAGTGCGGGACTGCATGCAGTGGTGACACTAAGGATGCCGCCGCTAGGTGGCTATGTCATGTACCACACGGTGCATCGGGAGGACACAGCTCCGGTGATGGATATACATGTCTTTCCGTCGATGTTACATTTCAAATAAAATTGGTGTAAAGTTTTGTTTTCTGTGATTATCAGCGCCGGTGTACTCACGCGGGCCGTACAATGTACGCTGTCCGAATCTGGCAACAGAAGGTCGAGTCACTGAGCAAAAGAGAAAAAAACTAACTTTTAGAAAGAAGTGCTGTATAAAGAAAAACACGCCGGCCCATTTTATTCCACCGAATTTTTGTTTTATCAACACATTAGGAGAATTATACACAAGGTATTTGCTGCGAAACCGATTTTATATTAAATATATTTTTTATATACATATACATTTAATTATATGCTTTTTAGTTTTGTCTTTTTACTTCTCTCTCGCGAAGATTCTGAATCAGTGCCTAAGAGTGAGTGAGTTAAAATTTATCGTCGCATCGGCATTATTTCGGCCATAGAGCGATAGTGCCTAAGATGACATATTGAACAATGGGGTTGCTCTCTCCCCCACCCCACCTCCCTTTTCTTGGAACGCTCCTTCCTCCTACCTACTGACATGTCAGTATTTGTCTTGTGTGTTTGTTGCCTTGGTGATAGATTGAAACGTGTCAGTAAGAATTATCACATCAGAAATTAAATAGTTCATGTAAATGTGATATCAAGTGTAAAAAGGTAAATTTGTACTAAATCGACAATTTGAGAGCAGCAATACATTAATAGATTGTCGAGTGACATTGAATATAAAACTTGTTCATAATATGACACTACATAATTGAGGGTGAACTTGTGCAAGAACAAAGGTTTACTTGAGTAATATAGTCTGATTTCAATACATGCTTATTTCGTGCTGTTCTGACAGGCCCCGGTCAACCGGCGAACAAAGCCCTGCCGGAGTGCACGCTTACAGAAGGCCTGTCTGGTTTTTGCAGCGATATTTGTAATTCAAAAGGACAGTTTTTTAAACGCTTAGCATGACTGATGTAGCAACCGAGTAAATATGTGTGTCTTGTAATTATATATCAGTCTGAACGATTAAGCGGTAAAAACAGCTGATTTCTTTGTTTTGTTGACCATGACCTTTCATCACAACCTGCGACCTCTGACCCAAACCGGCTTCGCAACAGTGCGTGCTCTATGATTGGTGGCTGTGCGGAGGTGTGGGATTTTCCGCGTTCCAAATAAGGGAGGATTATGCTAATAGTCATCCGGGCATTCTATATAATCAGCTGATTTGTCACCGGTTTAGTTTGACGCTGACTTCATCGAGAACGGACAGTTGAATGAGTTAGACGCTTGTTGCATACAAGACTGAAATGGTTTGTTACAGTTTTTAACCGGAAAAGACATTTTGGAATGTGATATTAACCACGTTAGTATACCGATCAGCTGTTACGCTTGGATTTCTTTGTGTGCCAAGCCTGCGCAAGTTGTCAGTGTCACTTCAACATTCATACGATACAAGTAAGATGTTCGATCAAGTTGCCCACAAGATCAAAGACCTCTTCAGGAATCTCTCCGAGAAAACAGAGAGGCACTCAGACTATGCATTGGTTATCGAAACAGACTTCGAACACGAAAAACATAAAGATCACCTCGGTAAGTAGCCGGTATGACAAAACTTTCTGATCGCTGTCAAGCGGAAGCAGACGACATTCCTTGTCATTCATGTCATTGTTGACGAATAGCATCCTTATGATCATGTATAACATCACCTTGCATCGTGGATTTACTACCTGTAGATGTTGATATTAACAGAGCACATTTGTTTTGTATTATCAATATTTCCATTCAGCTGAACATTCATTATTATGTTAGTCATCATATGATATGTTCCGTTGTAGCCTAGGGCCTATTCATTATCCTATACAAAACTTACAGTCACAATCACATGTGAAAGTGAGTCATATTTAACCAGTATTAACAATTTAACCTGTATCAAATAATACCTGAATTTCAGAAAATGATTGAACTACATTTCCAATTTCTTTAATAAAGGAAATGACGAACCCAAAGTGCTCTGTCTTACTTTCGGAACTCTAATACTGACTGATCAAATTTTGTGCTACTCTGGTATTGCGATTAAACAAAATGAAAAATGAACCATTCACCTTTGAGTCAGCCCATAGCATTTAATGTGTTCCAAGATGAGAAATCTAACATCACCTAGATTTTCCATTTTTGTTGAATATATGCATCTTTTGTCTATGAAATACATGTACTAATCTGAAAATATTACTTTTTCTTCAGAATCTCACGTCCCTGGTCTGAATCAGTATGGAACATTTGAAGACAATGTTGAATATAATCAGTGCTTGATGTTGAAAAACGAAATTGAAGATGCTTTGCGGCATGCCAGGGAAAGCAAACTTCAATGTGAGATCTTGTTCCCATGTGGGTTGATCTCTAAGATATCTCAAGATGTTGTGCGCATGTCACAAGATGAACCCTATGGTCTTCGGGGGTGCCTCCTATACATCAATCTGGAAGGAAAGGACTCATGTCGTAGAATAGCCAAGATTGACTGTGACCCTAGAACTGTTGCTACATTTGAGCTACACCTTAGCTTGAAGGAAGATAATAGAGGTTGGGTGATGATTCAGAAACTGTATGTTACGATTAAAGGTTGTTTCAAGAATTCCAGATGGAGGTCCTTGCCCAAAATCTTATGTTCAGGTTTTCAACTGGAGAAGACCAAATTGTACCGGAGCAACAATTAGATTAAGCAATTTTTGCATCGATCTATCCATGGCAGTGGAGAATGTGGCATACTGTGCAGCTAGTTTAGTATGCATTTGAGTGCATGAGTACCAGTTATTGTTTACACTGGAGTGCTGAATGAAAGGTGGACTGTATGTTGTGATAAAGACTGTGTGATACACTCAAACTGAAAGCCATCATCAGATGACCACACAGATGGGAGGGCAGATCTTCAGGGCTCCTGTCATGTAAGGATTTTCATATACTGAATCCAAGACTGTGATAGAAGAAGTTGGCACTATGGCATTCATTGACTGATTTTTGTAGATTTTGTTAGTTCTCTTTTTTAACTGTACAAATTACCTGTACTCTTCTAATAGGACAAATAGACCACAGAATGACTGTAGTGATTTGTATGTTAGTGCACTTTGATTGAGGCTCTTGTACATAGTATACAAGCACTTCCGTATTTGTTAGCATGCAGAGAAATACTTTGTCTGTTTAGTACAATGTTATACTCTATCCATAAAATCTTGTATTTTTTTATGCTGCCAAATGTAAGACAATATGTCATACAATTGTACAAGTGCTAATTCACTATCAGAAACAAGTCATTAACAGACAATCAAATAAGATGAATAAATGAAATCCAGGTTTTCTCTAAACAAATCTTTCTCTTTCATCAAAATCCTAAACTTTTAGAATTTCATTAATTTCTTGTCTAAATAATATAGATGTTAAAAAATAAACATCAGATTTAGTTTCATTTTTCTTTTAAAAGTTGCATTACTGTGCTATTTTGTCCAAATCCAAATGGTATTGCTGTGGAAGAGAACTTGTCCTTCTTTTATCTGAAAAATGGGAAAAAAATGCTCTAAATTTTTTTCCAACATTTTATTGAAATGTTTACCAATATTTTACCAAGCAAGAAAAAATAGGATATTCTCTGACATCAAAGAAATATCCAATGTCTGAAAACATAAGTAATATGTGGCTGTATGAAATGTGTTTCTTATTGTTGGTATCATTTTGAACAAAAAATCCTTTTACTTAGAAAATCAACAATATATTTTATTCATACCTTTCAATGGTTTAACATCATTTATAACTTACTTTGCTGTCGATGGTAATATGCTTGTAAATTAAGATGATATAAATGTTGGCTGAGATTTGTGATATTACATTAATTCTACTTAAAATGGCGACATTCTATAAGTATTACTTTGGCACTCTGTGCTCCTATTGGCTTACATTTCTGGGTGGTGTTTCAATATGATCTGCTCTTGTTTATGCTAAATACTTTATTCTTAATTTATGACATCAGCATTTACAGCTTACTGTTACTGCCATCATGTAATGAGTGCAATAATTGATTGCGAGGTTGTGATAATCCTGTATGCAGATTGGCCTCATTGTGTTTGTATTTGCATTACACAATAGTAGCCTACAGCGGTATTACAATTCTACAATATCTGATGAATGTTTCATACTTTTGCATTTTCTTACATTATCATTAAATGTTATCAATTTTATTTGTTTTGTGTTTTATTTCTCTATATAACTGTAGTAGTACTACTTCTTTGAGAGGCATTTAGTACTAGTACACTGGTAAAGTTCTTCATTTTTGTTTAGAATTAACTGAAGACAAGTACAATGTACCTATGTACATCATATCAGCATGAGGTGTCTTTAACCACAAGCTTTATTCTTAAAGCATTGTCTGATAAGACCAAAGTTGTCATATAGCTTGAATATTGCCGAGTGTGATGACAACAAACTAAACATCACACAGATATCTGCTTCGCTCACTTACTAGCCAGAAGCCACATTTGTGTTAACATATGCTGGCCTTGTGGGACCTGACCACCTCCTTGGTCTAGTGGTAGAGCGTCCGCCAGGAGAGGAAGATCCAGGATTCGATCCCCGGGCTGCATCATACCAAAAGACGTTAAAAGATGGTACTTGTTGTTACCCTGTCTGGCGCTTGTCATTAAAGGGCTAAAACAAGGACTGGTCGGCTCAGAGTCAGTATACTGTGTCTGAGTGGGGTATTCATGTTAAACTGCCGCATGATATCTCAGTGGGCTAGCACTATAAATCGGCATCAGTCCGGACTAGTGCAAGCAGCCACACACACAGATACATGTGCATGCACGTCACTATACAAGTGTAATAATCTTGGATGCGACGTTAAACCCCATCTTACCTCACCTCACCTTGTGGGACCTATGGCCTGCTTAAAATATTGCAGGAAGACAGACCCCCAACAAGAGGTTTGGCTCTGTCGGTTCTTTGAACTGTCTACAATGGGGACAAGGTATGGAAGACTTTGGGAAATTGCTATGGATGCAAGGATGTTATTTTTCATACATCAGTAATGGATAAATATGTTGAAAGAAATTGAAACCCATAACTAAAAAAATATAGTTTGCCCTTGATTGATCCTTGCACTGGAATCTCAATCAGGACAAGTTTTTGAGGAAACCACTGCTGGTACATTTTGCTTTTATCATTAAGGGATTCATATGTTGATAAAATTTGAAAACCATCACCACAAAATTCATGTTTTACAAAGTTATAGAATAGGATAGCATAGGTCTTCAGCAACCCATGCTTGCCGTAAAAGGCAACTATGCTTGTTATTAGCGGCGACTAATGGGATTGGGTGGTCAGGCTCGCTGACTTGGTTGATGCATGTCATCGATCCCAATTGCATGGATCGATGCTCATGATATTAAATACTGGGTTGTCTGGTCCAGATTTACAGACCGCCGTCACGTAGCTGCAATATTGCTGAGTGAGGCGTTAAACAACAAACCAACCTTCAAAGTTATGACCCTTCTTTGGGGTTTTGAAAATGGTGCACAATAATGCCAGAGTTAAGGCCCTTGCTGCATTCAGTTTGCTAAAATGAGGGTAGGGTTTCTAAAGATGAACTTATGATGAACCTTTACATATATCATAAACTTTGGCATGCACATCAGATAAGTGCAGGACTGGCGCCTGTGATGTTCTGGAATTTTTACTTTTGGAATCTTTTGCTTTTCCAAGGCAACAAGTCCAATTAAGGTATATTTTCATCTGGTGCCAACATGCTCCATGAAACTTAGCAAATGAATTTGGCTAGTTGGGACTGGCACCTACTTTTTACCTTTTTACTAAGAAATCAAATATATTTTTTAAAAATTGTAAGCATGCAAGGATGGCGTGTGTGTGGGGGGGCATGTGTGGGGGTGGGGGGGGTAGGGGGGGGTTGACTGTCTTCTTGTCAAGATTCTGTCTCATATTTCTTTCAATATATTGGCCCTTAATAATGAGGAGACAGTCAACTCAAAATGAAGTCGGGAATGGTCAAGGCTAGTGGACTCAGTGGGGGAAATGGGCACCAAAGCCTGTGACAGCTTCCGGAGTGGTGTGTCACAACGTTGGCAACATGGCAACTAGGGTGGATGTGACAATGACAATATATTTCTTTTATTCAAAGTGAATTCCATACTGATTCCATACTGATTGTGTTGTATAGTTTTAGAAAATTGACAGCTTTAGAAAGGTTGTCAAAAAATAATTCACATACCACGTATTACGAGACATTTGCTTGAACTGACTGAAAGTGAATTTGTCTGGTACAATCACTGATGAAAATTCACTTCAAAATGACATAAGTATAGAAAGAAACAATTATATTGTTGTTACATATATTTGATTGATTCTATATTAAATTGTGCCACACCTACCGGGTTTGCTCCTAATGATGATAAGCGTAGTCACTGTTTAGCAGCAACAAATTGGATTAAGAATGCAGAAAATCAATTAGTTCCTCTGCAGATTGTATTTTCCAAAATAAGGAAATTCTAAAAAGAAAAGGAAAATTGCTTTCAAAGAACATTTATATATCTTCACTTTACTTAGGAAATATTAATATCTCATCAACTGATGTAATATCATTGATTTGATAGGATTTCTTTTGTAAACATTCATAAGGAACAGACAGGTGTCAGGGGCACAAGAATTCAGGTTGGTGTGGCCAGGTTTATAATAGTCTTGATCTTCTTTTCAGAACAATGATCAGTGGGGTAGCATAGTGGTTAAAGCGCCCTCTCATCATGCCAAAGACCTGCATTTGATTCCCTGTACAATGTGTGAAGCCCATTTCTGGTGTCCCCTGCAATGATATTACTGAAATATTGCCCAAACCGGCGTAAAACCATACTCACTCACTCACTTGTGAGTGTAGTATAACAGCCCATATGCATATTGTTTATCCTGATATGATTTTATGTGCAGGACAAGTCATGGTCACTAGCACTCCTACTGGGAGTCTGCTTGTCTCAACACAAGATAACATTAGGAAGGGCTTTTTGTTTTACTGAAGATCTAGTTATGTAATAAAAAAAATTATTTACTAATATAAACCACTTGTTTGAAAAGAACTGTAGACTATTCAACTCTACCTCTACCTAATGATGTTTTAATTTCTTTAAGGAAAAGACTGGGAGAAGAAAAGACTGTTCTTAAAATGCAAGTTTTATTCTACAACTTAAGGACTGACAGATCTATAAACCAGGGTACATTATACCAACTGTTGCCATAGGGACAACAATACCAGTCCTAGCACTGCATGTTACAGTAATTCCTTCAGCTGATAACAATGAATGGCCTGACAATAATGCAGAGCCATTAGGGTTTTGAATGTTCGCATGTCACAGTTGGCAGGCTGATATTTGCCCAACATTGTATATGAACTTCTATTATGTTAAAATATACATTTTATTTAAGAATATTCTTAAACATTACAAACTATCAAAACTAGGTTTTGTTAATTACATCACTTATGAACTTCGATAACCTTAAAATATATATTCTATTTAAGAATATTCTTAAAAATTACAAACTATCAAAACTAGGTTTTGTTAATTACATCACTTATGAACTTCTATAACCTTAAAACATATTTTATATTTAATAATATTCTTAAACATTACAAACTATCAAACTAAGATTTGTTAATTGCATCACCACTCCTTACTCGTCTTTTGTGTTTTATTTATTTTGAGAAAATTAGCTTGATATTTTTTCATCTTTTGCTTGTTAAACTTATTATCCAGAAAGTTTCAATTTCATCTATATAAATAATCACAAATTGGCTTAGTTAGGCGTATATATATATATATATATATATATATATATATATATGCCTGCGGGCAGCACAATTATTTTAAGAGAGCCTACTGTTAACAGAGATCTCTGTGGACATGAATATCTGTATTAAGTGGATTGAAATAGGTAATTGCCATAAGCCATATGGTCGTTTAACGATATACATGAAGTAACATTTCTTACGTAATGTTACAGTAGTACCCGCATCCTAAATACCCGCCGTTTTGTTTTGCAGCTTCATGTATTTAACAGATAGAGTTGCCTCCCTTGTTGTTACTGTTCACATAGAGCATACATGCAATTGAATACATTGTTAGGATAAGGCAATAACTCAAACTGCTTGTATATTGTAATCAAGTTAATTAAAAGTATTTGATTAACTTTTCATGACGTCTCTGTAATTAACTAGTCTGTATGCAATTAACAAATGGTGGCATCGATGCATGTATAGGGAGTATTTATTTAATTTATGCAATCAACTTTATTATCAAAAGATATTCCTCAAATTATCCTGAGTTTAATATATTTGAATGTTTATTGATGTGAGAGTATTTTATGTTTATTCACATTGCCATGAATTAAATGATTATCCTATATCAATTGACGTCAGGGTATTTCGAACAAGGTCAGACGATCAAAGAGTTCATTGAAATAATATTTTAAAAAGCAAACACAGAAGATGATAGCACTCCCAAGGAAGAAAATTTAAGTTCAAAGCTTACTTTGTGTGCTGGCGATTAGGTGCCTCACTCTGGATTCGAATCCCGGACGGAACTCCACCCATACGAGAATCTGTACTTTAATAAAAAAGTGTTATCCCAAATATAACATTCGTTACATTTGACAACTTTCTAAATGACATTGTGAATTCAACACTGACCAATTCTGTGCCTTAACATTAAACCGATATAAGATCTGAACATAAATTATCATGTGCATGTTTGTGTTCTAATTAACGTTATATGATAATTTGAGATTTTAACAAAAAATGCGAGTCAACGTATAGATGAAGAATACTGACTTTACTTAATATAGCTGCAGATGTCAAATGTCAGTTTTCATACGCCTGGAGAACACTTCTACTGTCTTGATATAAGTCCATATGAATACACATTTTGTTTAAAATAAAATGCTCACTTTATTGAATCTATTTGATAAGCTTGGTATTGGGCAAACATTGATACGATATCATGGGTTTGGTTGGGATTCTAGTTTCTTTCCATGGAATTTATTCCAATATTCACCCCCACTCATGAGAATAACCGAGATATTTTATAACGCTTCACTCACCTCTGCAGTGTTGAACACCTCCCTGGCAGCAATAGGGGAATGGAAGATAAGCAGCTGTCACACCGTCTATCTCCATCTAGCGTAC